CCGGAGGTCCTGCGGGGGTCCTACGGGCTGAAGGCGGACGTGTACGCCCTGGGGATGACGATCTTGCAGATCACGACGCTCAAGAAGCCGTACGGGCGGATGAAGTCGGTGAGCGAGCTGTACTTCGAGGTGTTGAGCGGCTCGCGTCCGGAGGAGTTGCAATTCGTTCGGAACCGAAACCTGCGGGCCCTCATCGAGGCCTGCATAGGCCCGGAGGAGGATCGTCCTTCCGCTAGGGGTCTCCTCTGCTTGGAGTTCTTTCAGGAGACGGGAGGGGACGTCGAGACGGTGGAAGACCTCGTTGCGACGCCTTCGGCCAACTTCGGTCGTTTCAAGGGTGCCATCGAGCGCTTCTGCTTGCTCAACGAGTCCTTCCGGCCGGCCGACCACCTACGTTGAGGACTCCTCGTCGCCTCAGATAATTTGCCAACTCTCTTATATGCTCCATGGCGGTGCGTTCCTCTCTGATCATCGGCATCCTCCTCGCCCTCATGACCGCGAAGTCGTGCTCCGGCAGGATTCTCACCGTCCGCAACAACTGCTCGACGGAGGTGACGTGGGCCATCGATGGCACGCGGGGGCTGCTAGATGCGTCGCCTTCGAGAATTTTAGCCCCCGGCGCCGAATCGTCGCAGATCGTCGTCCCCCATGGATGGGGCGGCCGGATCTGGAACAACTCCACTCAGGATCGAGTCAACACCCTCGCGGAATTTTTCATCGACGACTCGAACGACGACTTTTACGATATCAGCATCGTGGACGGCTTCGACTCCGGCATGCGCATCGTGCCGTCCTCCGACAACTGCCCGACGATCCAGTGCGCGTTCGACGTGGCGGCGTGCCCGGCCGATCTGGTAGAGTACGACGGCGCCCCGTGCCTCAGCGCCTGCAGCAAGTACGCCGCGCCAGAATTCTGCTGCACCGGGGACCACCGCACGCCCGAGACGTGCCCTGCGAACGAGCTCTCCCTCTACTTCAAGACGCTCTGCCCCGACGCCTACACCTACGCTTTCGACGACCCTACCTCCGTGCGGACGTGCGGATCCGCGCCGTCTTACACCATCACGATGTGCCCATGATGCGTCTCAAACCACGCTATCTGGTGGGGTGCTTCTCGTGAGCCGTATGCACCCGACCATCCTCACGGCAGGCGCATGCTATGGAGTTCGAGTATCGACCGCCTCAACAGATCTTGGTCATGCCCACCGTTCCAGGTCCCATGTACGCGACGACCCGTTTCTGTTCCGTTTCGTCATCCAGATCCAGAAAATACAGAGTGTTACGAGAGACGGGATCGCCGTCACCGTCGAGCAAGACCGCAAAGGCGCTCTCCGTCTCTTGGAGATAGTGGTGCACCGGCGGCCGCAGCAGGTGCATGGCGTACCGCGAGGCGCGCGACAGGTCGCCTCGGTAGTAGGTGATGACCCCTTTGTCCACGTACGACGTCCAATAGCCGCTGATGGGCATGCAACAGACGTGGCGATGCGGGACCTCGCACAGCCAGGCCATGCTCGCCGCAGAGAGCCCCAGATGGGAGACGTCTAAAGTGACGGCTAAGTCTTCCACGCCTTTGACCGAGATAGACGCCAACAGATAAGCTCTGGTTTGAGCCAAGACCCAGGTCAGCTGATCCATATTGTCGAATCACGTACAAAATATACGTCATGGGTGCGAACGCGATCTGAAAGCGGTAGCCGGCTTCACGCTTTCGTTCCTTCCCCTCGTTGGACCCGGTCCAGCATTGCTCGCACGGCTGGATTAGACGAACCGTAGAGGGGGATCCTGGCGTCCGGAAACCACCTATATATAAATCCATTCACCCGCCAGATCTCGAGAGACGGCTCGAAGATCTTTGCCCAAGCGGAGAGGGCGGACGAAGTCTTCAGCACCGCATCGCATCTCGAGAGGATCAGCGGATTGCATATCGCGTCTCGCCCCAGAGCCAGCACCTGTTCCGGGGTCCTGGGAAGGCGTCTTCCGGTGTGTTCATCGACCCCGTAGAAAGCGGGCCGCTGCACGTTCTTCTCGTTCCTCGACGAGTCTGTACGGTGGACCACCTTGAAACGGGTACCGTACAGAGTCTTGACATGCTCTATATAATTGGCTTCGTCGGAGGCCACGAAGATCGTTTCGGGCATCGTTCCGGGGCGAGAGCAATAGTCGTCGATCACGAGGTCCATGTCGGCGTAGGACATGAGCTGGCCTTGGATGCAGTGACCGACCATCTTGTCGGTTCCTCGGAAGTGGATTCCCAGCGTGCGACCGGTGAAGTTCTGAGAAACGAAAGCATCGACTTCCTCGCGAATGGGCCGCTTGAAATCGAAGTACTTGTTCCACAGCCGATTCGGGGACTCGAATTCGCGGAACACCATGCCGTGAGCCGTCTTGAGATGGGTGAGATTGTATACGATGCGGTCTGAACCATCATCGGGTAACTTGTGCTCTATGTAGGGCGCGATGCAGTCAAAGTCCGGCTCGACACCATAGTTCGCGCAAGCTATCTTGAACGTGGCGCCCGAACGTTTCAGGTCGACGTAATGGAGTATCTCCAGAATCCAAGGGAACACCTGGCCCCAGAAGCCTTCCGTCAGTGTGTCGGTCACTAGCATGGTCTCCCTACATCACCGCCGGTAGAAATATTTGCCGAGAGGCGCACGATCGCTGGGTCATGTTCGATACCGGAACGCTAGTGATGCCATTCTCCGACCCCGCCTGATCGAAGCGTCTCGTCGATGTCACTGGGCGGAAGGGATGTCATGGACGACGCCGTCTTCTCGACGGTGGTGCGAGGAAAGGATCCCTTATCGCTCATGCTGAAACCATCGGCCGAAGATCCTTGGCTGGCGCTGTCTTCGTGTATGGCCACCAGTGCGCTGACGGAGCTGATCGCATCGGTCACTCGGCTGAGTATGACGTCCTCGCTGCAGGGCTTCATGAAGTGCCCGTCTATGTCCGCATCCAGGTAGCGCCGCTCCCATCCTTCGGCGCCGTACGGGACGGAGACGAGGACGGGAAGCCTCTTGAGGCCGGTCCTTCTCTCGGTCTTGCGCAGTTTCTGTACCAGGTCCAGGTTCGCATCGCTCATGTCGACCAAGACGCAGTCGTACGTACGGTGGATGGATCCCGCCTCGGCCATGGCCATGAACTCGGCGAGGTCTCGGACGATGTCGATCGCGTGCCCCCGGAGTGCGAGGTTCCTGCAGAAGCTCTTGAGGAAGATCGGATTCTCCTCGATGAGCAGGAGGGAGAACTTGCG